ATGGAGAGCTTGACAAATGGGAAGACTGGTCGTGGCAGTTGAAGCGATATGTAGGACTTTACAAACCGTTGGCCAAGCTGCTAATGGACGATGTGGAAGGATCGAATGTTGCTATCACTGACGACTTGTGCGAAGCGTTCAATGTTCAACAAAACCGCACCCAGAATGATCACTTTCACTGTTCTCTAGACAACTGGCATACATGCTAGTGCAGATCACTGATGGCGCTGCAAGGGCGATTGTTCGTAATGAGGACACAGAGAATGGTTTCGAGATTTGGAGGCGACTGCATAGTCAGTTCTCATTGCCGGAGAGAGAGCGCGATCCACGAATCTCCTGAATGAGATCATTGGGTTTCGCTTGAGAAGCGATCATCTCGAGAGTGACCTTTATCATACTGAAGAACAGGCGTGAGAAGACGATTGGAAGACCGCTTGACACTGACCTTTTGGTTACGTTGCTAATGCAGAAGACTGTTGGTCCTTTGCAACAGCATCTGAGGTTGAATGTCAGGAACATCAACACGCTCAATCAAGCACTGGAAACCATCTACAATTACATCAAGAGCAGACACCTGGCTGTCCCGAGTGGTAGGAGTGACCACGGCGGTCAAGCCGACATGGACATAGGAGCATTGAAAGGAAAGAAAGGAATTAAAGGCAAAGGCAACAGCGGCTACAAAGGTGGAAGAGGAATGTATCAGCAAAAGAAAGGAAAAGGATACACGGGCAAAGGAATGTACGAAGGATACAAAGGAAAAGGAATGAAAGGAAAAGTAAAAGGACTAGGATGTTTTCTGCGTGGTGATCCAAACCACTGGAGCAAGGAATGCCCTAAAGGAAAAGGGAAAATGTCAGCCCTGACAGATGAGGAACAAGGAACTGGAAGGGAATGGTACGATGAATGGAATCAGTGGAGTCCGGATGACTGGCCACATGATGATTGGTTTCGGGAAGAAGCAGGACTGGAGTGGTGAGTGGATTGGTTCTGTCGATGATTGGTCCGGTGACTGGTCTTGGTTTGAGGTTCTTGGCCTGAGGACTGGTCCTGGAACACTCAGGAATGGTGGAGTTCTGTTGAGACTCAGCCACAGAGCTCGAATGGTGCCGTGAGCTCAGGTTCGAATGTCCCTCAGGACGCCGCCAAGAATGAACCACCACAGAATGTGTCAGCTGTGACTGTTGTATCATCGGATCAGAGTGCGCCCAGCCTGCCTCGCTAAGACTGTTCGGGGAACAAAGCCCGGACTGATGACGAACTTGTTCGTTGGAGCGTGCCTGTTGATTGGCGCATTGAGTTCCGGAGTGCCACCAATGCCGAACCAGAGTGTACCAAACTTGAAGAAGTTGCCTGAGAATGATCCGACTGGTTTTGACGACAGCTTGATTGAGTTTCACATGCAGGCTGGACTGGTCGACAACGCATGGATACTGTTCGACAGTGGAGCTTTTGTGCGAATTGTTGTCCTGAACGGTTACGCCGAACTACCCGACGCTGCCTTTGAACGAAAGCGCACCCTCACTGCGGAGTCTGTCTGGAAAGACATCGGATGTGCAAGGCAGGAAGATTGTGCAGCTTGGCTCTGGTAATGGCCACTCTTTGAGTGTCCAGTTCTATGTGTGCACTGGCATACCGTTTCCACTGGTCAGTGTTGCGCGACTGTTGTTGCAAGACTTCTGGACTGTGATGGCGAAAGACTACATGGCGTTGATTGACCCGACTGGCAATCCTGTGCCGATTGTGCGACAGGGAGCACTGGTGTACTTGACACCGACTGCGATCCCTAATATAACAGCGTTGCAAATGCGACGAGACTGGCGGCAATGTGCTTGCCGGAGGTAATGTCGGGAATTTGAAGAGGAGCTTGGTACCTTGGAGTTGCGTAGAGTGTCGGACGCGCATGACTGTTCGATTGACCCTCTGCCAGATTGGTGACTTGATTGCCTCAGCTCAGGGAATGAAGTCATCTGAAGGTGGAAGGCAAGACACCTGGGAGTTGAATGAGACTGAGCTGAAGTTGATCCGCCATGTGAAGGTCTGGAAGAATGAAATGTTGAACCCTCGGATCAACTGTGAAATCGAATGCCGGTACCTGTGCTTTGCCTCACTGGCGAGAGACTGACGCACAAGGTTTACCGAGATGGTTCGACTGTCACTGTCAGGGATGTTGACTTTCTGACAATGACGAATACCAGGGCGCGTGATGAGAAGGATTGGCGAGGACGAGTGGAATTTGGACTGATGCACAAGCCTCAACACAGGCATGCACACAAGAGTGCACCTCGTCCTCATGATCCACCGGTCGGTAAAACGTCTTCACCGGCGAATGCTGACGTTGTGGAAATGGAGCAAAAGACCGAGACTGCTCCAAAAGTCCGAGCCAAGACTGGCGAAGAGCCAGAAGAGTTGGAGCGCAAAGTGAGAGTGAGTCGGAATGTTGGGGAGCATGAGCTTGAGAATGCGTTGCGGTCATTGCCTCAGCATGGAGAGAAAATGAAGGAGTTACTGTTGCAACTGTTCAATCTCGAGGATCCTGAGACTGCAGCACAGAGGACTGCAGATAGATGGATCATCCTCCCTCGACATTGGATAAGAATGCACCATGACATGCGTGATTGCTACTTCCATCCAGATGATGCGAGTCCTCCTGTTGATGGATTGTTGAGTGATCACTTGTAGGGTGATAGGTACACAATGTTCTTTGACTCAGGTGGTCCCACAATGATCGATACTGGCCATCAGAACGAATGGGCAGACATCGAGCAGCAGGAGGGACCAGTGAAGACATGTGAGAATCCACGGAGTCCCACTGGACACAAGTGGACTGGCTACACATTGTTTGTGCCACTGGATCGTCCTACTGCTGGAGAGAATGCCGAGCAGGAGACTGAGGACAGGCTGAGGACAGGAGTGCATTGAAGCCGAGAATGCTGAAGGTTCCTGGAGAACCATCAGAGAATGAAAGGCGATTGCACGAGTCGACTCATCTCAGAGGGACTGGTGCGAGCACTGTGTGAAGTCGAAGGGACGACAAAGTCATGCAGTGAAGAAGAAGAAGAATGATCGACAACCAGTGATCCAGATTGATTTCTCCTTCATGGCGACGGAGAAGGACCTTCCGAAGCGCACCATCCTGAATGCCACGGATGTCCAGACTGGATATTCAATGGCCGTGGTACTGCCTTCGAAAGGAAGTGTCGAAAAGTATGGAGTTGCGGAATTGAGGAAATTTGCGTTCGAGATTGGTAGGAGTTTTGGCATTGTTCAGTATGACAAGGAAGCGCCGCGGAAGACAATGGCGCTTGACCAAGGTCATCGGCGGACTGACCATGAGGGCTGCGCCGACTGGACATTCCCCGAGTCAAGGGAGTGTTGGGACACTGTTGTCTCAAGCGGAGGAATCTACTGGAGCCAAAGTGAGCTCGGAATCACCCATGTTCACATGGAATGTGAAGCACTCTCAAAGGCTCATCAATCGTTAGAGCTGACGGCAAGACTGCCTACAGCCGTCGATGGGGCCGAGAGTACAATGGAGCACTGTGCATGTTTGGTGAGTTGATTGATGCAAAGGTGCCTTTGAGTTGAAGAGCGCGTGTTCCCAAAGCTGGATCTCAATGGTTCACTGGCGTGTACCTTGGAAAGGACACGGAAGCTGATGAGGTTGTGCTTGGGAGTGCCAATGGTGTCTTCAAGGTTAGGACTGTGAAGAGAAGATCCCCTTCTCAACAATGGAATGCATCGTATGTCATGAAGATGACCTCCACTCCTTGGCAGCCACGCGGAGATGGAGTTGAATCGACTGCGTGTGTAATGCAACCAGATCTTGGAGTGAAGGGCCGAGTGAAGCCTCCTCCTGGACTGGAGCGTGTTGAGGAAGAAGCTGAAGGGAATGTTGAGCTTGAAGACATGGTACCTGGTCCGAGTGAAAGTGTCACTGAGCAGGATCTGCTGTTTCAAGATGGCAATGACAGAGCTCCTGCTCAAAGGGATCATGATGCACCTGAGGCGACTGGAGAATCGCCAAGGAAGAGTGCAAGGATTGATCCAGATGCTCCTGCGACTGAGCCGTCGACGACGCAAATGAGGCTGCTGTGCATCACATGATTGCCGGAGTGATCCTTGCTTGTAAATGGATTGCGTCGATTGTTGGAGTTGACGAAGTTGTCGGCAAGGACGGAGGAAAGATTGATGTGGAAGTGAATGCCGAGGAAGGCGAACTCGACCAAGAAATGCGACTCTCCGAACCACTGCTTTGGGAGAGTGAGTTTCCGCCCGAGGCTGAAAAGAAAGCAATGATGAAGGAAATGAACTCAATGAAGAATATCGAAGTGTATGATGAAGTGAAGCTGGATGACTGCACCCAAGAGCAGATTGATGGCGCCCTTGACTGTCGATGGGTCAAGGTTTGGAAGAGTGATGAAGAACTGCGGTGTAGAGTGGTTGTTCGAGGTTGCAGAATGTTGAGAAGAGTGAAGAAGACAACCTGTTTGCATTCACAATCCAATTGCTTCTCTGCGTGGCACTGGCAAGAAATTGGGGCGTCACAGTGGGTGATGTCAGCACGGCTTTCTTGCATGCCTTGATGAATCAGGAAGTGTTCGTTTGGCCACCAAAAGGCAAATGCCTTTGGCGACTGAAGAAAGCAATGTACGGCCTTCGACAGGCTCCAAACTGTGGCAAGAACACTTTGCTGAAGTAATGACCACGAAATTGGGAATGTCGGAGATGCAAGAGTGACCCTAATCTCTATTGTCAATGAATCTGGCGATTGTATGTGCTTGCATCTGTTGATGACCTGTTGGTCGTAGGGACTGACGAAATGAGGAAATCGTTCATGGCTCAACTGTCGGAGGAAATGTTGCTGAAAGAGACTGGTCAACTGGTTCCAGGAAGTGAGCACGCTTTCTTGGGACGACGACTGCGACACAATGGTGACTCGATTGATGTGTGTATGTCACAGAAATACATTGATACGGTTCTTGACCTGCGTGGAATGAAGGATGCCAAACCTTTGGCAACGACTAACGCGCAAGAGCACAAGCGGGTCCACTGTGAATGTTCTGGGCTGCAATGTGGTCAGCGCTGCCAGAACACAAGGGACGCTGGCGCTGTCCTCTGGTGAAGCTGAGTTGTGTGCGATTGGTCAGGGAGTGTCTGAAGCACTGTTTGTCCGATCAATGCTGTTGGAATCAAATCTGGCGAAGAAGGTGAATGTGATTGCGCATACCGACAGCACTGCGGGTCAATCAATGGCGACCCGCTTTGGCGCTGGAAAGAAGACAAAACATGTGGAATCTGCGTCCAGAATCTGGTGCAAATGGGCCTACTGAGGATGGCTAAGATTGATGGCATGCGGAATCCTGCGGATCTAATGACCAAGCATGTTGCGACTGATGTGTTGCAGCGACTGAAGGCACATATTGGTGTTGTGTCGAATTGATTCAAGGATCTCACCACTGATGCTCCTGATACTGATGATCATGTTGCTCCTGTGGTGACTGCTCAATGGCCTCCTCCTCCCCGGGAATGGCCCGCGCACCCCTCCCCTACCCGCCCTCGTGCACGTCCCGAATGCACCCACTGCGCACACTGTTAATTTCTCTGGACGCCGTTGGACTGAAGTCCACGCCGAGGGACTGCATAGGTGAGCTGCGGTGAATGCAGTGCATGTTCTGGCTGCACATGTCACACTGCTGTTCTGTTTGCGTCGCCGACTGAGGTCAACGTGTTTCCCCTGAAATATTTTCTGCTGAATGTTCCTTAGTGACATCCACTGCCCATAGTGTAGACTGCTTCCTTCGCTCGCCCGACTGTAGCAGCAATGGCCCCTAAGACTGCCAACCCGAAGAGTGCAGCGTTTGAGCGAGTGCCAATGCAACCACTGCCGGAGCACATGTATGAGGAGATCGCTGCCGAGCAACTGGTGATTGATGTTGCCGCTCTGAGTGATCTCACTGAAGATGATGTCCGGCAGACTGGAGTGCAGAGCAACCTGGTTGCACTGCACCTTTGTGGGAATGTCCCGGGGCATCGCCAGGATTTGCAGCGACTGGCGCAGGGACTGACCGTTGTCCGACCGACTGCGGACCCACTAGCGGAGAATGCTTCTGCAACTGGACCTGCGGCGATTGATGCCGCCCTTGGCATCAATGTCAGGAATGGCGCCCGCCAATGCAGGAATGTTAATTGGGAGTGCTGCCTGGGCCTGATGCAGCACCTGCGCCGAGTGAGCCGAATGCTGCCGTCATTTGGTGCAGCACAGGCTCAGCAGGAATGGTCCCATGAGTGTGGAAGTGTCTGCCGCTCTGACTGCGATGGACTGTGGAATCGAGCTCACCCGAGTGTGGAATCGCTACATCACCACCATCGTGGAGAATGGCCGCGAGAGAGTGGTTGAGAGGGCGAATGATATCGCCGATCGAACGCTGCGAGCCCAGGTGAATCTGGGTGAGACTCTCTTCTAGAGAGAGTGGAATGAGGACACTGCTCCAATGCCGAGTGTTCTCTTGCCTGGAACGAAAGACTGGCTGTCGATTTGACCACGCGGGTCAGCTCTCGAATGGTCCAATGAGCTCTCGCGAATGCACTCTCTTGGCATACAATGGCCCGAACAACTGGATGATTGAGAGCAGCTGGACGCAAATGACGAAGGCTGAGCGACTGTCCCTCACCAAAGGGAACTGGCATGTGGAATGGCGATCTCTTCATTGGGCAAAGGAGAATGCCACTGAGGCCCTGGTGAATGCGTACGACTGGCTGTGCCTGCCGTTGTGTTTGGCAATGGGACTGTACACCAATGGTGCGCTGGATTTGGTAAAGCTTCCATGCCACCAGCTGAATGGAACCTTCAATGCCCTGAGTGCGCTGAGGAAGACTGTCCAATGGGCGAATCAGGGCGCCCTTGAGGAGAATGAGAATGATGAACCGACCGCCTTCGTGGTGCTCCGCCGCACCAGGACTGCGGCACTGAGGCGATGGGTCGCTGGCGAAGCCGGCGGCAACGCCAGAATGAAACTGGCGAATTATACTTCAACCGCCAGTTCACTGACCACATCAGCACGTTCGAATGGGGTGGAAATGGTCCTGATGACTGGAAGTGGACAATGGAGGCACTGTCTTACGCGAGTGCCGGGATTGTCCGTGTGCCAATGACGGACCCAATGTGCCTCCGCAGCCCCTTAAAATGCTGCTGTCCTTGAATGAGATCATGGAGTGGGGAATGCTTGCCGCCACCCGTGGCGAATCCCTGCTGGAATCGAGGCTCATGGAACACGCAATGGTCCCACTGTGCCAGAGCATCGGGACAGGACTGGAGCACGATGGCTCGACCTGGGATGAGATCTATGAGAATGACGGGAATGCGGCACCCACTGCTTGGAATGCTCCCAAGGCAAAGGTAGCGAATGATCAGGCCGTTGGGAATGCCTTCGCGCAGACTGCGGATGCCCTCGAGCCCGGCTCCGAGATCGTCCTGCGCAAGAATGCGAAGGGCACTGTGAAGTGAATACACTGAGCAGCGGATCTAATTTAGGAGTGCCCTGTGACTGCGATTGTTTTGCAAGGGGAAGTTCTTTCTGAAATGTTGAATGGATTTGTTTGCTGAGAATGAAGTTCTCGGATTCAGTCGAATGTAGCATGAGCCGACTGTCTGCAATGATCACTTTGTACAGTGCAACCTGGCCTCCGAATGCCATGTTCACGAAGACTCGAATGTCATCACCGAGTCGAGCCAAAAGTCCGGAATGAGGCCAATGACCCTTTCGCAGCTTTGATTGTTGATTGTTGTGACTGTTTCTTGATCGTTTCGCGAATGCCACCACCTATGCTCGTTTGTTTATTTGAATGATCTTCGACTGCAGTCAAGATCAAGGGACTGTGTTACATGACACGAGCCCAATGATGCACCTTAATGTCATGATGCATTTGAGAATGCTACAATGCCGAATGGCATTGGCTCAAGACTGGACCAAGGCTTGACGTCAAAAAGGAATGTCTGCTTGAGTGTGACTGTGGGGAAAGTGATTTTTCTACAATCTCTATCTTCAGATTGTACTGTTGAATTTTTTAGCTTTCTCTCTCCTTCTCTCTGTCTCTCTCTCTGCGTAACATCTTCCAGAGGTAAGGCTTCTTCAGGGAGCAGCTCCGAGCCATCTTAGCTGCCTCGACTTCTGTGCCCTTCGCTATGTCCAAAGCTTTCCGTGCAGGAATGCATGCAGAGCTTCTGGCACGAGTGGAGCGCTTGCAGCTGAGTGTGTTGTGGAACTGCAGTTTTGCGGACGTGAGAACACAAAGAATGGTTCACTGGCCCCCAAACCCTGAAGCCCGAAATGTAAACCCCTAGACCCCTAAACACCCTAGACCCCTGAACCCCAAAGTGCAAGCTAACTCCTACCCTTCACTTTAACCTGAGCTCGCCAAGGGCGCGGGAAGGCCTCGAGGCTTCAAGGGTTTAGGCTGTCTTGGGATGCCAACAGCCGACCAGGGAGTCACAAATGTGGAACGGCCGAAAATGGAGACCCTTGCGGGGTGTTGGTACATGCCGGCACATGCACCCGACTATCTTGATCTTTCAAGCGGAAAATAGGAAGTCACACATGACTGGAGTCAGTTTGCCCGAATCTGCAATATCGGTCCTGATTTTGCGAAAATACCCCCGGGCGTGGTGCATTTTATCGCTGAAAATTCAGCTTTTCCCAGGCGTGGTGCAATGTTTAATGAAAGTAGTGTTTTTTTTCTCGTGGGAGGGGTGTATTTTTCGCAACAACATGCTCGCTTCCGATATACAATCAAATGTAGCATGTGTATATATGTACATAGACTTAGAATAGAAGACAAGGATAGTGTAGTATAATATACTTTACTATACTACATACGTACTATAATATAATATAATATAGTATACCAGAATATAATATAGTATAATAGCATAGAATAGAATGGAAAACTGGAATAGAGCAGGATAGGATAGGATAAAACAGGTGAATCCAAGAACAACTTTTTCACCGACGAAGACCCTAAGGAGTGAATCCAGCAGGACACGACTACCAAGACAAAACCCTAAGGACGAAATCCAAGAGGAACCTTCCACCGAATCCTTACGGAGTGAATCCAAGAAGAACCTTTCACCGAAGACGAAGACCGTAAGGTGCGAACGGACGTCGACGCCTAGTCCAATCGTAGGTATCGCGACTTGAGCTGTGTTGCCACATGTCATGAACACTCATGTACATAAGGGCAAAAGCTCGTGTACCGACTCTTTTGCCTATCATTTCAAAGGACACACCTTGGGACCGTTTACGGACCAAGCGCTGTGATCCGGTGTATACGCTCCGCATGCAACGCAACTTTGGCTCAAGAACCTATCCAGCCAAGCTACCAGGTGATCCACACAAGAAGTAGCTGAGCTATCCCGAGCACAGATCGATCGACCTTCGGCCGTCGAGACGACAAAACAAGGGTTTGAGCGTGCCGGCCAGGGTGACTCTGCATCAGAGCGAACGTATTGCAACTGAAGCTTATTGGGCAACCACACTATCATCTACAAGTTCTGGTGAGGGAGCAAATATTGGATATCATCGATACCCAAGCCTCAGGCAGGTTATCAGCCGTAGGCTCTGCCTACCAACAGCAAAGTTGTTCTTGCTCTCTACTACTTCGATGGCATCAGGATCAAGCAGCGACACATCGTGGACTTTCGGTGGCGCAATAACGGCGCCAGCAGCTGGTGAGTCCACTGCTGACGACACCGTGGTGCAGTCCGTTGACAGCTCTACTGAAGAGGAGACAACCAAAGCGTCCTCCTCCGCTGCACCGAAAGCAGTTCCCGAAGCAAGGAATTTGTCAAGAGCATCAACGCCTTCACACCCAACATCCTCAGGATCAAGGGCTATCAAGGATATTGATCGTGGACAAAGGGCACCAACCGTGCCTGTGATGCAAGCCCTACGTTTGACAGCAATGGGAAAAGACAAAGGTAACAGAACACCGGAGAGAATTTCAAAGCCGAGTTCCTCGAGAAGTTCCTCAGCAAGGAGATCCAAGAATCCACCCAGGGTGATGGACAAGGTGCAATCGCCACCAGGGCGACGAATCACTTCTTCCGAGACGGAAGGGCGACCCAGGTTGCGGGCAATCACCAACACTGACGAGGTGACCATGAACACTATTCCTGCAATTGAGGATACTTCACCCATTGGTCTCCCATCTCCCGCCGAAGAACGTGGAAGACCGACTCCAGAAGTTCGAGGGGATCATCAATCACTTGATGACGGAGATCCGAGAGCATGCAACATATGAACAACAAACATCAAGAGATGAAGGTCGAATTCGAAGCTTCCATGGAACGGTTGAGTGAGCAAGCTCTACACCAAATTGCTCGTGATCGCATTGCAGCTGATGAAACTTTCATTCGTCTACATCCAGAAAAGGCTGAGGCTGCGCACAACCTTGTTCGCGTGGAAGAGAACGCTCAAGGTGATGGCGCTCACATGGCCAGGGAGTATGAGCAGCTGACATCTGAACTTCATGAAAAGGCTAGAGAAACCCTTCAACTTCGCACCGACATGGCAAGCTCAGAGCATGCCTTGTCAGCCATGAGGGAACATCTTCAACTGGTCAAGAACGAGGAGAATGTTATTGCTAAGAACATCGTGGAGGATCAAACATCCAATGTACGCGAGCAACTTGCACTTCGACAACGACTTGGTGACGAAGAGGAACACCGGATGATGGCTGCGCGAAGAATGTTGGATGCAGAACAACAGCTGCAGCACGTGGAAAACAACACAAGACAATCTTTACCAACATTGCACGATGAGCTGAATGAGTTGAGGCGGAACTTGAGGCTTCAAGAAGATGGCTCGAAGCCTACCGTCAAGTACCTCAACTTGGGTCTCAGCAATCGAGCATACCGATTTCGTCGAGAACTACTGAGTCGGGCTGGGATCGAATGCATTAGTAAGGATAGGGTCAGCGCTTTCCACGTAGGAGCAGAGGTGCGATCCCCTGAAGTTGTAACCCCTAGTCACCGAAGTCCTGCCAATCGTGACAAGATCGGCGTGGTGGAAGTCATACATGAGCCAATACCGTCGCTTACCGAGGAAATGCCACCCGCGCGGCTTCCGCAGGGTGCGCAAGGACCTCTGTCCGAGCGCTTGTCGCAGGACATGTCATCGATTAATTAGTCCGAGGAAAGAGACGATACAGCGGCAAGACGCGCGAGCTGTACGTGATCGACAACTTCATGAATTACTTCACGCCCTAGGGATGACAGGGCAACCATCTTCGTCATCCTCCAGTGCGTCTAGAAATGTCGATCATGACGGTGACGTTGCGTCAGATATTGCTGTTGCAAAGCTCGTGGTGGCAGATACCGAACGCAAGTCCTTCGCCATGGTGGTCATCTCGAGGCAAGAATCAGAATGATGGAAGAACAACATCGACAAGAACTCGAAAACATGCGCATCGAAATGGAGAAGGCACAGAAGGCAGAACAAAGGCTTCGGACGGTCCGAGACGAATGGCGTACTATGGCAGAAAATCTTCAGCCCAAAGATCACGATCCCGAAGAGGAAGAAGATGAAGGCGGAGACGATGGTGGCGATGACGACCACACGGATCCCGACAAGCACGGCGCAGATCCTCTCCCGAACCTGGCGGCGGTGACGACCCACCTCGTAAACCTGGCAAGGGCCCAGATCCAGGCCCACTTGATGGAGATGATCCTGATGGAGGAGAAGATCCGGAGGTCACGGAGGTTAAAATTTCTCGTCGTGAAGCAGACAAAGTCGTACCTTCCTTCCCTACGGTGACACATCTTGACGGCTGGATGGCGCAATGCATTGCAAACGTTTTGAGTGCATGCGCAGATCCCAATCAGGAAGAATGGATGAGATGGCTGAGTCCAGCATTCCGACCATTCCCCGACATCGAAGAATTGAATGATTCGGGACATAAAAAGCCATTTTGGCTCAAGCCAGCGGCTCAGAAATCGACATTTCACTTCAGGTATCAACGCCCCACTTTCTTCGTAGGTCCTGCAGATTCTCATTCTTGAGGCCGGAGCCTAACTTATCTTGCAGCTCGTAATCTTTGTTATGTCTGGGTCCAGCTGAAGATCTTCTGCCATGCTCAATGCGGCGGAGCGCTTGGCAAATCTCGCGGCAGGGGCTCCTTCGCCGTCTGCGCCTACCGTGGCCGCGGGCCAGGGAGTTGGGGAATGCAGATTGAGCAGCTTCTTCGGAGAGTTGGATCCCGACTTGACGCTTGTGCGTTCCACACTGGAAAAGCTTGGCTATGACATGAGCCAAGAGGACGTTAGCCCGGTGTTGATTGACATACAAGCTTTGGGCACAGAGGAGTTCTTTAATGGCCTCCCTGTTGACACAACTTTGAGGGCTAAAGCGGCTTTCAAACGCTTCTTGAATATGTCCTCCCCGTTGACGTCGCAAGAAACTCTCCAGTCCACCGACACGGATCTACTCCTGAAAACGGCGCTGCGGGTTGCTGGCATGTCAGATCCAGTTGCTGAGGAAGCTGAACGATTGAAGCACAAGCAAACAGTGGGTGAGCTTGCCCAGCGTCTTGAGCTCGGCATGTTTGCCCCGTCTTTGCTCCCAGACGCGGACATGCTCAAAAGAGCATCGTCGGCGGCTCAAGTCGGACACGTCCCACAACCTGAACGCAAGCAGCTGCTGGATCATGAGGGACCCGGGCTTTTGCCAAGCAGCTTTGGCAGCTTCTTCGGTCCGGCATCGCTCTTCTTTTGATGCAGCGTATGTCTCCGGCAGCTCTGTTCAGTGAGTTGGGTTTGGCACTTCAAATTGCCAGTGAAACACCGGGCGATGACAAGCAGGCGGAGAAGATGGCGGTGCTTTACAGCATCAAGATTCGGGAGCTCCTGCACGGATCTTCTTTGAAGGTCCCCTTGAACGGTTGAACGCAGATGTGGACACTAAATCGTTCGAGGAGGCCATGCAGGCTTTCCTACGTCGTGATCTAGGCGTCTTCTCGGAAGCCAAGGATTCTATGTCCCATCAGGAGAGCTTCAAAGCTCCCGCTGCACCACAGGCTCGTAAGCAACCTCTTGGAGATCATTGCTTGAGACATGCGATCAAATCCAACTTTTGCAGTGGCTATGGGCGGAGAACATGCGGCTTCAGCCACACGTGTCCGTTCTGTCAAGGCAAGATCTGCCAGAATAAGCCCGGCTACTTAGCTCCGCCACTTGGCTGCCCTACGAGTTCCAATGGAGCTGGTGGTCAAAGACGCTAGCCGTTTTCACAAGGCTCGTTCGCGCACTCCCCGGAGACGTTCAAGAAGCAGATCGTACAGGCGTGACCGTGGTGACCCAAACGCAGCAGGGGCTTCCTCGGAGCAAAGGACGCCAGCTTGACTTTGGGCACGGAGGAGTTCTTTAATGGCCTCCCTGGGGACACAACTTTGAGGGCTAAAGCGGCTTTCAAACGCTTCTTGAATATGTCCTCTCCGTTGACGTCACAAGAAACTCTCCATGCAGTCCACCGACACGGATCTACTCCTGAAAACGGCGCTGCGGGTTGCTGGCATGTCAGATCCAGTTGCTGAGGAAGCTGAACGATTGAAGCACAAGCAAACAGTGGGTGAGCTTGCCCAGCGTCTTGAGCTTGGCATGTTTGCCCCGTCTTTGCTCCCAGACGTGGACATGCTCAAAAGTGTATCGTCGGCGGCTCAAGTCGGACACGTCCCACAACCTGAACGCAAGCAGCTGCTGGATCATGAGGGACCCCGGGCTTTTGCCAAGCAGCTTTGGCAGCTTCTTCGGTCCGGCATCGCTCTTCTTTTGATGCAACGTATGTCTCCGGCAGCTCTGTTCAGTGAGTTGGGTTTGGCACTTCAAATTGCCAGTGAAACACCGGGCGATGACAAGCAGGCGGAGAAGATGGCGGTGCTTTACAGCATCAAGATTCGGGAGCTCCTGCACGGATCTTCTTTGAATGTCCCCTTGAACGGTTGAACGCAGATGTGGACACTAAATCGTTCGAGGAGGCCATGCAGGTTTTCCTACGTCGTGATCCAGGCGTCTTCTCGGAAGCCAAGGATTCTATGTCCCATGAGGAGAGCTTCAAAGCTCCCGCTGCACCACAGGCTCGTAAGCAACCTCTTGGAGATCATTGCTTGAGACATGCGATCAAATCCAACTTTTGCAGTGGCTATGGGCGGAGAACATGCGGCTTCAGCCACACGTGTCCGTTCTGTCAAGGCAAGATCTGCCAGAATAAGTACTTAGCTCCGCCACTTGGCTGCCCTACGAGTTCCCATGGAGCTGGTGGTCAAAGACGCTAGCCGTTCTCACAAGGCTCGTTCGCGCACTCCCCGGAGACGTTCAAGAAGCAGATCGTACAGGCATGACCGTGGACCCAAACGCAGCAGGGGCTTCCTCGGAGCAAAGGACGCCAGCGACTTCGACTCCTCTCCGCGGCAAGAAGTAGGACAAAGGCGGCTCCTTCGACTGGGCACCGGTTGAAGGACGACGCCAGGCCGATGTGCAAAGGTGCTTACCGGCGATGCTTGGTCGCCAAAGTTTTGATGGGGCTCTCGGCGAAGCGGAGAACCCAACAACCACTTCACAGTCCGGCAGCAGCAAGCAAGTTAAGAAGAGTTTGCTCACCGAATTTTCTTCGAATCCACATCTTCCCCCTCCGAGTTCTCTCACTCCGCGTATCTCGGGCATCGTGTCCCACAAAGGGTTTTGTCAAGGAGATTTCTTGGATGAGAGGATCCTTGCGGAGAAGTCTCGCTACATGAACTCCTGGGAAGACTTCGTTTCGGAGGTGGTTCAATTCAGCAGCCCCCTTCGTAAACCTTTCCGAGAGTTGTCCAGCACAGTGACGGCAGGGATTTGGCAGAGAGCTACGCTGTCCACCGCAGATCTCGCAGCTTACCGAACGGAGCAGATGTCGCGCATTCGGCGGGTGGTTGCAGCGGACGGTCCCTCAACGGAGCCTCGCTGGGGAGTTTTACAGCGCTTGGACATGCAGACAAGGCTCTTTGGCCCAGGATGCGCAGCAACCCGATGGATTCCGCTTGCTCGGGCGGCTGCCAACCGTTCCACAGTGGGCACAACGCCCGGATCCCCAAGCTTGGGATGATGCAGCTCATGCTCAAGAACTCCAGCGTCTGTTGGACACGCATGCGGTCAAGCAGGACGGTGGTCTCTTCAAAGTGCCTAGCAGCCACTCCGCAGAGCTTCACAGGCTGCTCGAAGAGGAGACTTCGTCCTACACGTGGCCAGAAGCACGTCGAGAGTTGGGAGACTTTGCTTCTTGGTTGTACTTCGGGGTTCAAGAACCAACTAAGCTTAGGGGTTGCTTGGATCCGCAAGAAGCGAATGGTCCCTCGATGGTCCTACTGCCGAACCAAGTCCTCATGGCCGGCTTGGATGGCTATCTGTCGCTGTGCCAAACCCTGGCCGCCGCCTTCAAAAAGAAAGGGGAGTTTCCAACTTTGCGGGGTTTCGACAGCTTCCTTTGTCCTCTCTGGATAGAAAGCTGTTTTGTGCAACGGCCCAGGACCACGAAGGGAGCATCAGAATCTATGTGCCCCGCAGACTTCTGTTTGGTCCGCGAGGGTCTCCACATGTTTTCTGCAGAGTCACCGATGCGGTGTCAGCCGTTGCGGCGGTTCTTTTGCTGATTCCCAACGTTCCTCATCTTGACGATTTAGTGGGTGTGGACACTCAGGATGCTATAGTTTCAGCGCGTGAGGCCTTCGTCGAGTTACACATGCTTCTGAATTTCAGGCTCAAGGGCGCCAAAGCTAGGCCACCTCGTGATGCAGCAGCAAGTGCTTCAACCTTTCAAGCGCTGGGAGCTCTTCTGAGCTTTGACACCACAGAGCTCCAACGGAAGCTTGGCTTGGTCTGCACTGTGGATTTGCCCCAACAGAAAGTCAGCAAGTATGTAGGCGTCATCACATCGGCGTTGGAGCAGAATCACTTGTCGGCCGCAGTGGCTGGGAAGTGTGTGGGCCAGTGGGACCATTGTTCAGTATGGCTCTCGGCAAGTCAGGTCGAGCGTTTACGTGGCCTCTTCGTGAACTTTCTCGCGGTGGTCAGGTTACTTGGCGAGTGCTCCAGGCTGCTCTGGTCGGCTTCTGCATGTTCATGTGCGCGTCCGGCCCGATGTCTGTGCATGTTCCGGGCACAGTGGCTCGTAGAGCGGCTCTCATCTTCGTCGATGCTGCAGGCAAAGGCAACGGCTACAGGCTAGGAGGAGTAGCCTGGGGAGCCGGTTGGTTTTGCTTTTTCTCCCAAGCGATGGGACCGGAGGACTCCAACCTGTTGCCGTGGCTCTCGGGGCACTGCGTAAATGAGGCTGAGGCCTTAGCAGCTGTAGTCGCGTTGCTCACCTGGTCGCACCGGCTGGAAAACGTGGACATCTTCCTTTTCATAGACAACGTGGCTGCCGAAGGAGTCTTGCATGGTCAAAGCGTACAGTTCGTCTCCACACCTCACGGTCTTAGCAGGGCTATTCTGGCAGACGGTCAGGCGGGTTAAGTGCTCCGCGTGGGTGGACGTGTTCCGTCGGAACTCAACATAGCAGATGGTCCCGGCAAGCCTCGGGGCTCAAGTCGTCACCGGCGCGGTAGATCGGGGTTGGGGTGGCTTTGTGTGTCTGTTGGGTCCCCTTTCTCCCTTGCCCGTTCATTCAGGGTTCAGTAGTACATGCCATGGCCACTTCTTTGCGGCTCTAGACAATGTCCAATTTGGTGGTGCGTCTTCAAACTTCAACTACAGAGGCGATGTTTCGGATTCAACTGCTTTGTGCCACTTCTACGGAAATTGAGGCAGCATATGCAGTGGGACGGCTGCCCCCCATTCCTTCCAGCTGCTGCCTTGGTAGGTGTGAACGAGGACACCAATTGCAACTCTTTGACGGTCTGGCCACCCCGGTGGCTTGCGTGGAGAGCTGAGAAGGCCGGTGCTTTGCCCACTGTGTGGCACCATTTAGTGGAATTCCATTGTCTCTCTGCCAGCCATTTCAACTTTGTGTCTGAGCATGGGTATGTGGTCTCCACTCCCTTTCTGGGCAGGAACGTGCAGGCAACTTTTGCTGCAATTGATGGACGAGTGGTTTCCACTTCCCTCGGCAGCGCAGCGGCATCATGATCACGTCTTTACAGCACGAAAGCCTGCGCTGGAGGTGAGGGTTCCCGTCTTCCACGAGACGGGGGGATCCAAGACAGCAGACTCCAAACATGTTTTTTACTGGTGGAGAAGCTGTGACCTGGCGGCACGCAAGGTATCGCCAGGAGGAGCTGTGTAACGAGAGGCACTGCAAACCGGCTGATGAGCCGGGCTTTTCGGAGCGCTCACCCTTATAAGGAGTGGCCAAGACGAGTTTCCTATTTGGCTTTTCTGCTCCGTCTTTTACATGGAATTTGATTGCATGCGCAGCAAGGCAAGGGTGGTTATCAATTTTCTTTGGCGAACAAAATATAGCTGAGACTCCTTGGCCTCGAGATCCTACTTTCTTCGTTCTCGTTATCTGACGCCTCATTGTGAATTGTGGCGGCTGCCCTTTTGGCCAACTCTTTCCCTTCCGGAGAGTATGACGGCTGGACGATGAGCTATAATGTGACATGCCGGGGGTGGCTACGTTGCCCAAAGCAACGGCGCCAATGGAGGCCATAGTGACGTGCACCTACACGAGTGGAATGTGAGCACATGGTCGATGCGGGCTACTGCTGAGGTCAAGTGATTCTCTGCTGCGTGTTTGGTGGTGCCCCACTTTCAGATGGGCTGGAACGAAGAACTTTGCCTCAATCGCATGCGACCTGAAGATATTCCTTCTGAGAAAGCTCTGAGAGATTGTCTATACAGCAAGATCAAGGATTCGCCCGCCATGACATGGGAGCTCGGACTTCATTATGAGAACTTGACAGCGCAGTTACAAGAATCTCCCGAACATCATCGATCGGACCATTATGCGGAGGCGCGAACAATCCAACCTGGTGCAAACTCAAGTCGGACTACGTCAGATGCTTGAGGGAAGGATTTGCTCGCAGCTCCTGCAAAACAACTCCGGCACCAAAGGTTACTCCTGGAAAAGGAAATGGAAAGCCTGATGATGCCGCTCCGGTGCTTCCTCAAGGCAAGGCCAAGGCTCACACGAAGGCCAAAGCCAAACCGAAGAAAGCGCCAAGGAGTGAGTCGGCGACGTCTACACCCGACAAAAGCAAGAAGGGCATTCGGTGTAAGTTTCACTTCACCGACGCAGGTTGTCGCAATGGGGACAAGTGCCCATTCAGTCATTCCAAGAAGACCCCGGAGGCGCCTATTACTATACACGTTCGAGAACACCTAGTCCAGCGGGGCGCAGCAACAACCAGATATGCTTTACCTTCAGAAACAAAGGAACGTGCACTGGAGAGAACTGTCCTTTCAAGCATGAAGCGGCAGCAACTCCGGCGCCGGATCCTGCACCAAAGGCCGACGCAAAGCCCAAAGCAGATGCAAAGCCCGAAGCCGAGCCTGGCGCAGCGGCGAAGAAGACGGCTATGTCCAAAGCTAAACCAGCTGCACCAGCTATTCGCATGTGCAAAGCCTGGAATCCTTTAGCACCAGCTGTCGGGAAGAAGTCCTCGTACATGTTCGACGACGAGTCAGAATGCTCTTCTATTGACAGTGATGCTGATTCCGACTGCTCGACTGACGATCATGATGCTGGGACGGGTTCGCCGACCAGATCGTCAAAAGGTCGTCGTGTATCTTTCGCCAAGGATGTTAAGTTCCAATCTTCAAGGCCGAGACGGTCGTACAAGGAAAGGCAGAACGAAATCATCAAGGTGGATGTTGAGGCAGTCGCGAATCGAGGGAACAGGGCAGTCAAAGTGGAATTCGCAAAGCACAAGGCGAGGCTGAAGGCCCAAATCATGAAGGACATGGTTGACGACACTGAGGACGGAGACAGGATCACCTATGTCAGGTTGCCCGGAACGAAGAAAGTTGCGGAAGTTGCCTTTTATGCAGGCGAGGACCAAATGGTTGAAAGGAACTTGGACTCTGCAGCCAGCAAGAAGGTTATCAAGAAAGGTATCTTCAAATGCATGGTCCAACCCGTGATTCTCCGCAGGCAGATAAAGTTCCTCATGGACACCGGCTGTGGTCATGATCTTATATCTCAGAAGAAGATCAACAAGCGCAATCTGGAAACGTTGGCCACACCAGAACCTGTATGGTTTGAGACAGCGAATGGCGTCACAGACGCAGACCTAGTGTCCAATTTCCAAACGGACTCGTTCAGCGAACCGATCAATGCCTACGTCCTCGAAGACACACCATCCGTGTTGTCTATCGGGAAGAGGTGCATGAACCTCAATTACGGATTCATCTGGCCACCGGGACGAGAACCGTTCATGATCGACCCTGAAGGGAAGAGAATCTCTCTGTGTGTCGACGGTGACATCCCGTATTGCCGATCTGGGAACGGCAAGAGTCTCGCTCATGATGACGCAGAGGCCTCTGCCGTGTTCAAGGTCCTCAAGGAGTCACATGAAGTACATGTTGAGACTGCTGCGGCAGCCAAGACAGTTCCAGGTGAAGAACGACGCGATGATGACGAGGAAGACGTCGAGCACGATCGACCGCCCGATTCTGAACCTCATGAAGTACCTATCGAAGAAGTACCCGAGGCAGAAGCGAGGCGACCTCCCCATACTCCGGAAGGTGGAGTTGGAGAAATTATTCATCATGTTGATGACGATGAGAAAGAGATTGAGATTGAGGGTGATGGAGCGCCCGTGAGAAAGGCCAAGATCAGTACGTTGAAGCCTGAAGTCAACACCCTTGCACATCTGTGCACTCATCGTTATCGAAATCCGTACTGCGAGTCATGCATTCGTGCAAAGATGAAGCATTTCCGCACAAAACGTGGAGCATTCCAACGAGAATTGAAAGTTTGGGGTGACTTGGTCACATTCGACTTCCTTGACATGCGCAAAGCTGCAGACGCCGGACTTGGCATTGATGACGGCGCAAGAGAAGTTTTGGTCGTCAGGGACATCGCCACAAAGATGATGGCAGCTATCCCGACTGAGTCCCGACACACGGATGACATTGTCAACGCGTTAAGGAGACTCATCGGGAGACGAAAAGTCAAGATGGCCTACAGTGACGTTGCACTCGATTTTGATGCAGCGATGAAAGAGTTAAAGATACCGTTGGACCATTCGTTACTAGGAAAGCCCAACAACAATTCTCTTGCTCAAAGAACGAATCAGGAGATCATCAATACCGTCGCAACAGCCATGCTACACGCAGGACTTCCAGCTCAGTACTGGCAATTTGCGCGGAATTGCGTCACTCACAACCTCAACATTGAAGACGTTGAGGGTGACGGGGATTCGTCATGGAAAAGGATGACGAGTGATGACTTGAAAGGGAAAGCCATACCGTTTGTTGCCAAAGTGTACTTCAAGCCCACTGACACTCGAGAAAAGACCTATGGCCACAAGTTTGACCCTAAAGGGATACCTGGCATCTTTGCAGGGTATGTCATCGCAACAGGTCAAAGTTGGTCACGAAAGTATCGAGTATGGGACATGAAGGAGTTTGCCAACGTGAACCTGTCGATGGATGTGGCAGTACCACGAAGGTTGATGCAACCTTATCAGACCGAAGTCGTTCATTTCCCAAAGGAGATCACATTTCCTCTCAAGGCAGAATATGAGAAGATGAACGAAACGCTCGAGGGCGTGAAGGATAACGTGAACCTTGGGGAAAGGGAGGTCAAAGACCTTATTGGTGACGACGACGATGATGATTCGGGAAAACCAGACGGCGGTGGCGGAGGTGATCAACTGGACGATGATCGTCCGCCTCCTGATCCTGGAGAAGATCTTGACCTCGCTGGTATCGAATGGTCCGGTGATGAGGGACCCGGTGAGCGAGAAGCAGTCGATGAGAGTGTTCCCATCGACGCCGTTGGTGATGCAATACTTGACAGAGCTGAACGCGAAGGACGCGAGGCCGTAGGAGTACCTCCATTACCTCCACCACCTGATCCTCCGTCTGGTGACCAGTCTGGTGTAACGTCCGGGGATCCTGATGGTCGACGTTCGCTTGGGAGGCTTATTCCTAAAGGTGATGAAGAAGAACCCGGGGCGATCGTCAAGATTCTGAAGGAGAAGAAGTTGGCTCCCGAGGACATCGAGCATTGGAGCACGGGCAAAGGAGGTGATGGAAAGGTTTACTTGACCGACGACGGTGAAGCATGTAAAATTATCAGGCGTGCGGTACCATACAAGATACGAAGTGATGGCAGACGCAGTCTTCCTACAAGGCGACCCATCGAGAAGTACACGCCGGAGGCAGAGCTGTCACTTGTGCAAAGAGCTCCCTCGTCGCATGTGCACGCTCGGGCGCGCAAAGTGCTGGCAGGGCCACACAAATCGAGCCTTGGGGCGCGCCGGAGCTCCGGTGCATGGGAGCTGTAAAAGTGCAGGAAGCACCGGCAGGGCCGTGGTTTTCGGCTTTTGGCATGCGTGCTCAAAAAC